TGCTGGGGTCCTCAGTCCTGCCTGCGGTCAGTGCCATTGCTCTCACTGCAGAGCTCATCCTCAAGGCAGGTAAGTGACCCGTCCAGCTAAAAACCCACAGGACATGCATCTCAGTGGATAGAAGGATAGTGTGTTATAACAAGGTCTGATTTTAAGCTCCAATGCTGTTTCAGAAAAAGGCCGCCGCACTCTGACAGACCTGCGCTTGGTGGTCTTGCCCTGTCAGATCCTCCTCCTTGTCTGCTGGCTTGTCTTGCTGATGTGTGTGGACTGTAAGTACCTCAGACATTCTGCACCAGCTACTGTCCTCTGATCACTGTGGGCTGTAGTCCACTGTCACCACCGGTTTGTTCTGAAATCACACAAAGTGTCACATTGTGTAGAAAAGTGAGCAACACAAGTCTAACTATGCAGTAAAAGTCTGAAAGTCTATTTTTTGTAACATTGAGCTTGTCCACTGTTTTCCAAAGGAAAGAGCACAGTTAATACATCAACTTTTATGGATCTTATCATCATCATGAGCTCAGTGTGTTTGACCTTGGAATGTCTGTGGGGCAGTAGAGCCCAGTGTTCACTGCCAGCTGTGCCAGCTGTGCCCAGCTGTGTGGTGAGAGTGGGGCTGTGTTGTGCTTCAGGACACACAGCTGTGGTCTGGTCCTGTACTGTTGATATCTGACATCTCACATTTTATTTCCTGCTTTGCCCCTCCAGATAAGGTGGAGAAACTCATGTGAGTAGAGTTTTTACACAATAAAAATGTCTTCACTTTATAGTGTTTATAAGCGATCAATTTTGTTTCTAAAAAAGTAGTTATTTAAACACTGTACCTGTATCTAAGTTAGTTTTAATGACACTGTTATTGCATAAGACACCTGCAATTGGAACACATTTATTATTTTTTAGTAAAAAAATAAATTTAAACAAATTTAATTCAATCTAATCATATTTATAATTTCATAATTTATTATATAAACATGTATGATTCACAAAATACAGAATGTTGATAAAGCCTGAAATATTGACATTTTCCCTGTTTGATATAATGGAGATCATCATCAATAAGATGAAACACTTTAAAATGATTGTGTCTTAAAAGTTTCTTAATAACTAATATAACTATTAATTAAAATGAATAGTTAAAATTAAATTATTTTTAAAGCCTAGTTCACTCTCCCCACAGTCACAGTCCAGTCCTGAGCTCAGTCCACACTCCCCACAGTCACAGTCCAGTCCTGAGCTCAGTCAACACTCCCAACAGTCACAGTCCAGTCCTGAGCTCAGTCCACTCTCCCCACAGTCACAGTCCAGTCCTGAGCTCAGTCCAC